ATTCAATTAGAAAAAAGGAGTTTATATCTCCTTTTCACTGCATCAGTTTTCTGTATAAGTGATATGTTTACTATTTCTATAATTTTAAGGCTAAAGAAATTTGCGCGTGCAAAACATACACCCATAGTGGCAAATTGTACATTTATTGCATGGGGCAAAACACCCACTTAGAAGGATTTGTTTGGTCTAGAATTTTGGAAATAACTTTAAAATCATTAGCTGAATATTTTCAAAAAAGAAAAAAAATGAGTTCCTATACATAGAATTGTCGATCAAGAAAATGGACGATCTCTAATCTATCTATCACTGTGATTTTCTCTCAGACAGATTTAGAGTGTGGGTTCAACTTCTTCTTTAAATTAGTGTTTTAAAACCTGGATCATCTAGGTGGATTCGCCCCTCCACTGTATTAATTTAAAAGAAGTTGGTTAAAAAACTAAAGAAAGTAAAACTAAGGGAATTCACAGGGGAGGGGACTCAGATTGTTCACCCACTGGTTTCAATCTAGATTGGCCATTCCCAATCCAGATTGCAGAGTTTTTGAAACTCTCCATGTAATTTTTTATGGAGTAAAAGAACAGTTCCATATTAACATTAAAAAGGAAACAATAGTTCCAGGATAGAATGCCACAGTTAACTACCTAAAGACAGCTCCTTGAATAGAGATGTAAAGCAAAACAAGAGATGACCTACAAGTAAATAGGAGAAAATGACAAGCAGTTTTGAAAAGTGTTTACTACATAGAATGGGATCATGACGAATTAAGTTCATAGAGATAGTCACCAGCCAATGAGATCGAGAGTGATCGATAGAGAGAGTGGGATCCTTCATTTGGCCTTGTCCCTCTCTCCAAGAGCATCTAACATTCTGCAACAATAGGTAGGCTTTTCTATTTTTAAAAATTATCTTATGTGCTTCTACATATATATAATTTATAGAAAAGTTTAAGCTCATGTTCCCTTAAATTATTATTGTTAAAAATATTATTTAATTTTTATTTTCATTTTTTGCTCTCATACTTCTTTTCTTTTCTTTTTTCAGAGTAGCCCCCTTCAGACCTAGAAGGTCCGAAATGGTAATTATACTGAACTGAAGTCCAGAAGAATTTTTTTCATTGTGACTTTGGATCTTCGAAGTTCGAAGTCTTTCACTTCGACAATTGAAAATCCAAAGTCCAAGCATTTTAGAAGTGAGAAGCTCCGAAGTTAGTGTACTTTGGACTTTAAAGATATAATGTGCTTGCTGGAGTAGTTTTAACCTTCAAAGTCCTAAGCGGGGGCAATTTGGAATAATAAATAAATAAATAAATAATAAGAAGAAAAAAAGTTGTACATGTGAAATACAAAATATTGAGGGGACTTCTGTAATAACAATACATGGGGACATGAGTGTTGATCTATCCATAATGCATATGTATTTGTAGATTAGTAGCCATTCTAATTTATTCAGATGGTGAGAATGAGTTGACAACAATATTACATATTAGTCATAACTCATAACATGATAATCTTTTTTTTTTTTGGGTAATTCATTGGGAAGACAAGCCCTTATCATTTTTTTCAAAGATTTTAGGAGTTAGTTTTTTTAACGTGTTAGTATGGTGGTGTCAGTGAGAACAAAACCACAATATGGTAACTAAGGTGTGGAGGTGCTACTACCATGTGGAGGTGCTACTACACGACCCCAGCCCCTTTCCCAATATGATAAAATATAATTAGTAGAAGCTATAATATTATTCTTAACTCATTGTGATACAGTTTCCAAGTCACTCTCAGCAATCTCATCAAGATTGGACGAAAACCACCCACTATAGAAATGTACATCATGAAGTCATAGAAAGCTTTTCTTTTAATAAGCAAGTAATAGCTTCTCCCATTACAAAAAAAATCTATTTCTCCAACATCTTTATTGGTCCATAAGTCGGTCCAAATCAAATAGATAAGTGCGAGCATCATGCATGGTCAATTTTAAGAAGTTATCAATAGAGATATAGGGGTCAATTTTAATAAGATTGAGCGAGAGTAGGAGAGAGAAATGCAGCTTTTTAATGAGAGGTCATCCATCTTCATCCAACCACTAAGATAAAGGGATGAAATTTAATACCCTTATCACCCATATTAAACCCAAAGTAAGATCGTTTTACCCTTTTGTCTTTAAGTCAATATTTTTATTCCAAGTGAATTCAATTTGCACTTACACAAAAGCCCTTAATTTTAAATAATCAAATAGTATAAAGATCCATTAGGGCAATGAGCAATAAAGTAAATGGTAAAACTCACACAGGTGAAAACATACATTTTTATGAAAGTCAATTATTTTATAGATCTAATATTTCAAAGCAACTACAATGAGCGTAATGTCCTCTTCACATATGTGTGAATATATTTTTAAAATTCAAATGTATATAAACCATATTTTGTAGGCTGAAATATATGTATTATGATTTTTATATTGAGATATTCATGTATATAAACCCTTGAGTTTTAATACAATCAATTTTTTTTAAAAGATATGTTTCTACCATGGTGACGTATATGAACTTTAGTGAGAAGTGCACCTGTAGTACAACAACGGGGAAATAATTTGATAACAGGGAAATGCTTTTGACAGTGAGAAATAGAGACCTCAAATATGACATTTTGGGAAAGGGGTCAGGGTTACTGCATTCTGATTTTCATTCTTAAAGACGCTATACACCTTAAAAAAAACTAACTTCTAAATTATTTGAAGGAACGGATAGGGTTTGTCCCCACTGAATTACTTAAAAAATATATATATATATATATATATATATATGTTATAGAGAGAGAGTTGTGTGGGCCAGGTGCATATACGTATGCGATGCTTTGGTGGGAGTATACTGTACAACGACTCCCTCATACAAAGAAACTACTTGGAAGGAACTTTTTGCTCCAAAATTTAGGAAGCCATCTAAATATCACTAAATGATTATTTTTAAGAAAAAAAAATTGGAGTTTTGAGTTCTAGAACATTTAGAAATTACCTTCCAAAAATTGGACGGTTCCTAATAAATCTTGAGACTTTATTTATTGGCCATTTATATCATGTTCATGCGGGAACATACTATACAACAACTCCCTCGGGAAAAAGAGTAAAATAGGAGGATTATTTTATCCAAAATTTTGAAATCCATCAAACTATCATCAGATGATTATTTTTAAAATAAAATTGCATTTCAAGCTCTTGAACACCTAGATCTTACCGTCTAAAAATTGAACAGTTCTTGCTCCACCTTAGGACATTAATTTTTTTTAGACACTCTAGAATGATTGTTAAGTTCTAGAGGCTACATCCCCCAAAATTGGGGTCTAAAAAAATATTCGTGGGTTGTCCCCTGAGGAGCAAATGCACAATATGTCCTTACAGCGTAGTAAATCAGTTTACTTTTTTTGTGGCAAATAGAGATTGAGATTTATTGATTTATTTATTTTCCTTTGGGTTTGGTTATTTGTTCCTAGAGGTTATATTCCTATAGTTTGGGTTCCAAAAAATGTGATTGAGCTTGAGTTTTACCCAAGAGAGAGAGAATGCACAGTACTTGCTCCCGTAAGATCATAAAATATTTTGAGTATATATCTATATATGTGTGTTGGTCTAATAAGGATGAGTACCTTAAACTTTCCTTTAACTTGTTCTAAGCCCATGTAAAGAGGTGAGTTGTGTTAAGTAGCTAGCCAACATAAAGCTTTGTCCCATCTTATCATGAATCTTGACAAAGAAAAATAGAGAAAAAAAATTCATGTAGCCAATCCTAAATCATTGAAATAAAACTTGGATGATGATGATGATAATATTTATATATGTGTGCGTGTTATTCTAAAAGATCACTCGAATGGCGAGCTTAAGAGAGAGGTTGCGAGAGAGATAGAGAGAATTGTGTTTGGGTTCCAAAAACTGCACTTGAACTTGAGTTTTATCCAAAAGAGAAAATGTTATCCAAGAGAGAAAATGCAGTAAATGCTCCTACAGGATCATCAAATATTTTTGATAAACTTTATATATGTGTGGGAAATTCCACTTTAAGGGTGAAATTAGAGAGAGAGACAGAGATTGTGTTGTTGTGATGGGCCAGAGAGAGAGAAAGAGATTGCTTGTTGTGATGGGCGAGAGAGAGAGAGAGAGAGAGAGAGAGAGAGCTGTGTGCTGCTGGACCGGCATGTATTAGGACCACACTGTCCACTCGTCATATGGTGGGAGACTTAAAAAGCAACAACAAAAAAATCTCCACCACATGTTTGATGAGGACGGGGGATCGCATCTATATACCAAACAATTATATACCAAAATGTGCATGCACATTATTCATTTCCCTTCAGACTTTCCTCCCCTGCTATTCTTTCTCAAATAAAGTCACAAACACCTAAAGCCATTGGATATAAAATCCGATGACCATTAGATATAAATCCGATGGCTAGAGTGTTATTTCTGCAAAGGTCACAACAATCACTTCAAGTTGTTAGATATGGCTGGAATCAGCCATTTCTCGAAAGGCCGTCGAAAAGATTAAAGTGAAGCCCACCATGTCTATATAAAATCAAAAACACCTCAAAAACTGTTAGATGTAAAATTAGATGTGAAATCCAATGGTCTAATATATCTTTATCCACACAATCTAAGGAACAATTTTGCAGACTGTCTTAGTACAGTCTATAATACACATTCCACCCACCCACTTGCAAATATGTGGAGAAAGTCATTCTTCTTAAAAAAAAAATTCTCAAACTTAGCCGTACAAGTTTGAATCAGTTGGATGTGTCAATTTTCTTGAGTAGGACATGATGCCTTTGAACACAATTGCAAATTTCAAATCTAACCGTCTTGGGTGATTGTAAATTTTTTTGTAAAACGATTTATTATACATCTTTCCTATATCGGTTCAGTGGGTAGATCGGATCTATTTGACCCACTCGTAAGTATGCAAATAAATGGTAATACAAGGAAGCATTAAACTGAACATTCATGGGGAACATGCAACGCCCTTGGCCTTCAAAAACGAATTATACCACATTTATGTAATGAAACAACCGTTATCATGAATGAAGCGAATACAATTTGGGCCCCCTGATATCCAACGCAAGGGAAACAAATCTAGGAGTTAAGAATCAGCTAAATGCCTTGTACAAATCTAGTAGCTTATAACTTCTAAGACCCCCATTACTGTCAAATCTTCACCACCTCTTGTGATTGTGACAAGTGGATCCATCTCCCTGAAAACCCCATTTCCAGTAAAGAATCCAATCAGATGCTCCTTGATCCTCAACAGAATCCATTTTCTCATTCAACTGGGGCAAGACTGTAAAGAGATATGATTTCAAAAGTCACCCAATTTCGAAAGCCTTAACTTTTCGACTCTCCGAGCTCGATATCCTTCAATGATGTTTTCTCGACTCCGTCTTTCCCCAGAAGCATTACTGCTTCTTCCTCTGTTAAACTATCTTTGGCATGGGGTGGTTTAACTGGAGCTTGTTTTTGCTTCTCGATTTCAACTGCCCAACTATAAATGACCATTCCAAGCACCGCAAGCATCATGCCCATTATATTCTTCGGGGTGAGGGCAGAGTCAAAAAGAACCCACCCTAAAATGAGAACACACACAGTTTTCATGTGACCCAACACTTGAAATGAGACAGCTGAGAAGCGTCCGATGCAAAGGTACTGGCTCATGTTGCAGAACACGGCCAGAGCACACGATAGCATAATGAAGAACTGCAATGTTTTCACAAAGAAAATCAATGAATTACATGTTTAAATATCATCAGTGCACAAAAATGGATACCATATTTTATTAAGGATTCATAACATGCTTTAAGAGAGATGGATGACGAAATGTGATTCTGAAATAGTAGAGCCATAGGCTCCATGATGAGAGAGAGAGAGAGTCTTACAATTGCACCAGAAGACAATGTGTAGTTCAGTATGAATCGACCATTGAGGTAATAATCAGCAAAGGGACCAAGGATGAGAAGGGAGAGAGCCTGAATGGGAGCAGTCTTGCTCAGCAACTCGAAAGACCCTATGGAGTACTTCTTCTGCAAGGAGCCAATTGACTGCATACCAAGACAAATGTCAGGATTGCAACATTGAGAGCTTTGGTAAAGCCATGGGAAACAAGAACACGAAGAATATGAGTAAAATCAAATCCTCAGGCACACTCTTGGGAGCTTCATTTCTGATAAATCCAGCAGAAAATACATATCAAATACAAAAGAAAAAATTTCATCAAGAGGGGCAATATTGGTACGCAAACTATTATAAAGATAAGTTTTAATAGTAGATTTTATTATTCAAATTAGTTACAAGCCTGTAGGTCCGGAAGCAATAAACTGGATGATGAGAAGTGCACTAACAAAACGAAATGGTCCTTGTTACTTAAAAGGAGAATCAATGGCAAGCTCAAAGCTCTATCGTTAAGAGCTGTGGTCTCACCATGATCAGTCCAAAAAGCATTATTTGAACCAACTGCATGTTCCTATCCATTTTTTGGCGTCCAGTCAAATCTTAATCCTTGATAACTTTGCAGCCAAAAAGTTATTTACAAATACCCCTTCCATAAAATAAATCGAAGAAGATGTTCCCGTCTTAAATACTTCCTATTTCATAAGATATGGGATCACTCTGCCCTTGAGTTATAAATAATGCTGCTAGTCTAGCATTTAAAGAACTCTATTACGTGCACCAAGACGATGCAATCCTGTCATTTTTCATTTATTTATGGGTATGACTACTGTCTATGCCATTGTGTGAAGATTTCACCACCCACAAAATGTATTATCCACTGGTTCTCAAGAAAAACCATTCTGTAAATTTGAACACATATCTTAAATTTGAACACATATCTTACACGGCTCAACCGATTTCAAGCAAACAGGACAAACCCTTTATTAAGATTATGGCATCTTCGGCAAGAGTTCATAAGTTGGGATAGAATATCAATGCCACCCACTTATTTAATTTTGATCAGCATCTGGTTCAAGGCAGTTGGGATAGAATATCATTGCCACCCACTTATTTAATTTTGATCAGATCTGGTTTGAGGCTATTCCACACCATAACTCAAACCGGTGCTAAGTTTAGTCTAAAAGTCCGGTCTTGTCATCTTTAAACAAAGCAGTATAATTTTCTACCATTATACCTCATTTTGAAAAAGGGATGGGCTATTCACGCTATTGGTGTATGACCTGAGCATTAGATCAGTCTTGCTCAGAATTAAGTGTTGACATGGAAGAAGGGTCTGGATTAAGAAGGGCTTCAATCCATCCTAGACTGGGTTCACCAAGAGTACCTGTGATAATACATATATAGGACACAATAAAGGCAAGTGTCACTTTCATACACAATCACAGAATAGAAGAGACAGTAAGTGGCTTGGGTAACCAGTATGTGTGAATATACCAAATTAAATTTCTTTTCTTTTTTTTCAAAATTTCTGACAAACTTTGTAGATTTTTTCCGCAAAACATCGAGTTATATTGTGCTCTTTGGAAGGGTTCAGGGCAAAGATTCTACGTTAGAATCTTTAGTGTTTGGCTATATGCTACAATGCGCTTTGTTGCTAAATGTTAGTTTATTTTGAAGTGCTTAGCTGTATAGTACATATTCTTGTGTTTTATTGAATTCAATGAATGAATTGGATCATTTTATTTTATATATTTATTATATTGGATAATAGCCCTAAATAGAGCAGAATGGCGGACCAGGATTTATGTAACCGACCGCAATTAGTTGGGAAAAGGCTCTGATGATGATGATGATGATGATGATGAAGACGATGATGATTATTATTATATTGGATAATAGAGAGAGAAAACGTCAATGTTACTCAATATCAGCAACTCAGATAATGCACGCATTAGGGACAAATACTAAATTAAAATGCCTGTAATCACTAAAATCACATGTTCTTATTATTATTTGTATAAATTCTACTATTTTTTTATAATTTTTAATAATTTTTGTCAGTATTGGAAGTGATGACACAATTAAGGTAACTAGTGATAATAGCCCTAAATAGAGCAAAATGGCGGACCAGGATTTGTGTAGCCGACCCCAATTAGTTGGGAAAAAGCTCTGATGATGATGATTATATTGGATAATAGAGAGAGAAAACGTCTATGTTACTAAATATCAGCAACTCCGATAATGCACGCATTAGGGACAAATACTAAATTAAAATGCATGTCATCACTAAAATCACATGTTCTTATTATTATTTGTATAAATTCTACTATTTTTTATAATTTTTGTTTGCATTGGAAGTGATGGCACAATTAAGGTAACCAGGTGCTTTCACATGGCACCTGATTTTGGGTTACGAAGCAGGTAGCATGACACTGTATTGTGTGACTCTAATTAGTTAACTGTCGGCATGTCAAAAAAACATGGTGATAATTAGTGCATGCGCTTCCATATTAACCACATGCTTCCATATCTCTATGATGTCTTGTAAACTCATTACAGAATACTTCTAACTTCTCCAGCTTCTAAAGATAAACTGAATCACCATGAAGAATAACAGAGTGGAAAATCATCAACTTGTAATTTCACAACCCAATTAATCCAAGCGCATAATGCCACTATGCAATGCACCTTCTCCAAACAATTTTTTTTTAAAATTGGTTTCCTTGTTATAAGGGATACATAAAACCAAATTAATACAAAAGAGGTTAATCATTTTAAGCCTCATCATGTGACCACATCCCAACACATTGACATCTTAAAGTATCCCCTCTTCAAAAATCAAGACTCAATAGACATCTTAAAATTATGAATAATCAATCAAACCTTCACAGCATTGGGAAAAAACAATCTAAAGATCATTGAAGCCACAAGAGTAAGAATAAATGATGCTTCCGGCTAGGAGAATAGGAGAATAATGGAAGATTGGCTATTCTTGTTTGGTAATAACTCAATTTCTGTAACTCATGTGATAAACAGTTCAGCTACAAGAGTTGATTGAGACAAGATTCGTGCTCAACCTGACAAGTAATTATACTTTGTAGTACCATGGAAAGCAACAAAAAAGTTACTTTCTTAAGAAAAACTGATGCAATAGATGTGAGATGGGTAGGCTTGTCACAAGTTTGGAAATCATGGATGGGAGACTGGTTGGCCTTACGAAGAAATAATTATAGGATGAATGAGGCGAGGCATGTTGGAGGCTCTTAAACAGTAATTGTTATACTGCTATGGACCTTTGTTACCAGTCCATAAAAATAAAAAATGAGAATCAATTATAAGGGACAAATGCCCATGAAATGAATAAATCTTCAAGATGTCTAAATAAAACATTAATAGGCCACATGGATCAAAGGTAAAATATCCTACAACAAATCATATGCCGACCAAACATCCTATTGATTTTTTACCATCCAACAATCTTGCATGACCTGAATAACAGAAGAAAATGAAGAGAACACTAGGAAATCAAATTAATAACAATGGGATGCAATTAACAATGAACTTTCAAATAGACAGTCCAAATACATGGTACTCAGTGACACAGTAGAGAGCAGTGTGACAAGTAAATGTCCTAAAAATTAGCGGAATATCAAGCTTCCAATAAATTTTGATAGCAGAGACTTATGGTCAATGAAGGACAAAATGTGAAACTCAAATTAGAGGCGCACATAATCTAGAACAGAGAGTAAATACCTTATCCAGAACAGAGAGTAAATACCTTATCCGAAACACAGACCAACCACCACCCACCTAAATCACCTACCCCACTAGAGAGAATAAGAATAGGAAGGGTGTCAAAGTTTTACCCCACAACATAAAAGATGCAACATATAAACTGAGTTCAGAAAGATTAAGAATACCTGAACATTCCTCAAGCCAGAAAATCATAAAATAAGCGGTCTTAATCCAATTTTGGTTTATCAAATTAGCTTGTAGATATGACCCAACCAGCAGACCCCAAATAGGTGGGATAAGGTTCAAATGATGATGAGATAAACCCAATCCAAAAGCAAAAATGCCTGAAAGCAACATGCCACCCACATGATATGAAGAAATGCTTTGACTACAAGATCTTTCATTTTCTTGTAGTGTATAACCATCAACTGAGATCTATATTGTTTTCCCCTTCATCCAAACCTTTTGTCATTTGGTTAGCCATTTAATCATAATACCATATCATCAAAATCAGAATTGGCGGGGCACAACAGATACCCCCAACAAGCATATAATCAGAACAGCAAATACGGTAAGCAATGGAAGAAAACCCAGAATGCTTTTTAGGGAATAAAAACCCCAGAATTAGAACAAGAAAATGAGAATGCTCAATAGTAAGGACCCACAAATAAATAAATGAAGTGTAAAACCATGCTAGATACACATCAAGGATAGCAGACTTCATCAGCGTGCAGCATATACCTAAAAGTTAATAAAAAAACGAAATTAAGAAAAAAGCAATCACAAAACGAAAACAAAAGAGATATTGAGAAGAGAGGAATCAAATTACTCACAATTTGCTGCAAGGAGGTGGATATCACAGCGACACACGCACAAACGAAACCCTTGGCGTTAACCTTAACATCTGTGACCGTGCAAACCCCCACGCCCAACACGACAACAAAGACAGACATCTTCACCTCTCGGCTAAAATGCTTGCTGTGAAGAATCCATTCCATTACACACACTACTGGAATCATGCTCAACTTAGAAATCTGCATCACGCAATAGAACAATAAATCCTTCTACTTCACCAGATCTCAATTTCAAGATCGACCAACCCAATTTCTAAAAGAAAAAGAATTCGTAAAGCTTATTAAAATCTATAGCTACCACGGATAAAACCCTACAACGTTTCCATAAAAAAAAACCGGGGTAGTAATAATTTGAAGTAAATTTTTGAAATCAAATGGTGCCTGGTAAAATCCAACCAGTTATGCAGAAAAGAGAATTGTGGGTATGTTTTTCTTTTCTTTATTTTTTTGTTTCTTTGGGAGGGGGGGGGGGGGGGACGGGGGTGTTAGAGTTCAAAGAAAAAAAGAAGAAATATCTTGAAATCAATCGGTACCAATGATAAAAAGGCATCAACGATTTCCAAAAGGAAAAGTTGGGGAGCAATAACTCAGAGTAACTTTTTTTCAAATTTCAAGTTGAAATCAAACGGTCTCCGATGAATCCAGCAAGTAATTTCAGAGAAAAATATCTTGACAATGTTACCTGATAAAATCCGACAGAATTAAGCATTAGGCTCAAATTCATTCCTGTGATAGAAGTGTTAGCAACAATTGAGAACCAGAGAAGCTCCCACAAAGGCACATGCTTAGAAGTAGAGTAACCAGTCGCATTTGAGACGATTCCAACCAGTGCAGTAACCGCAAAATGAAATCCAGTTAAAGTGGTGGCTGCAAAAATGGCCGAAAAATGGATAAACCAGAGGAAAAACAGGGACCCAATGAACAAGATCAAGGATCAGAGAGCAGAATTGAGCAGATCTGTCAAAGAAGAGAGAGAAATGAAGACTCACCAAACCTGAAATCGTATCCACTTGATGACATGAGCTGCTTGTTCGCCATGATTATACCAACAGAGCTCACAACGTTCATGGCCCAAGCCCCAACATCTGAAACAGCGGATGCCTTCTTCTCCTGCTCCATTGAATAGCTTCTGTCTTTCCAGAAGACACCGTAGAAAAACCAGTCCCTTCTACAAGAACCCACAAAAAACCCCAGCAAGAACCGGCCTCTGTATCCGAAATCCGAAGAACTCAAGAAAACCAGTCCGTTGCCTTAAACCCAATTGGAAAGCTTAATCTTTTTCTTTGGAAAACCTAAAAAAGACAGAGCTTGGGTATCATTCTTTGCGGTCGGAGCATGTAAGGCATATCATGCAGGAAAAGAGATTTTTAAACAAAAAGAAAAAAAAAGAAAAGGAGCAGAAAGAGCGTGTATAGAGAGAGAGAGTTGTAGAGGCAGCACCCTGTAAAATGCAGGATAGAGAGAGAGTATGAATGAGTTGTGAAAGGGCAGGCCCCCTGTAAAACGCAAATGCAGAGAGAGAGAGTATGAATGAGAGTTATGGGGATGCAGTCCCCTGTGAAATACAGGGGTGCTTGTAAAGCAAAATGTGGAGAGAGAGATCGCCTTTCAGAAAGAGAGATAGAGGAGAGAGAGAGAGAGAGAGAGAGAGAGAGATAGAGTTATTTCCAGAAATAACAGAGAAAGAATGGAAACGAACAACGGAATCCTCGTTGAGAGAAAGTTAACAGAAGAGGGCCTCGGTGACGTTTGAACGGAGCAAACCAGCAAAAAGGCAACACCCCTCGTTATCATCAGAGAGAGAGAGAGAGAGAGAGAGAGCTAGAGAGAGAAACGTTTCCTAGCGATGGGAGAGCGAGAGAGAGAGGGGAGTGTCGAGTGTGAAAGGGGTTTAGAATGATATGAAATGGGCTCGAAATACGGGCTGGGCCCAAATGGGGAGAGCCAGAGAAAGAACAAGGAGATCCGTGATTATAGTAAGGTTATGGTGTAAAAGAATTACATTATTCAACTAAAATAAATGAGGTGCGGTTTGTATAGAGCCTAGGCTCTAAATAATTAAATTAAAGCCTACCTTCAAATAGTATCGAGAAATGTGGTTTCAATATTGAAAATCATTGTGACAAGCTTAAAATATATTTCATATTTATTTATAAAGTTTAAAGCTTCAAAAATAATGTAGATCAATAGATCTATGAAAACTTGAAACTCTTACAAACTGATGGTCAAAAAATGCGTTACAAAATACATTACTTTGAAAACATGAAATCTATTTTTTTCCTTATATCCATATACCTTGATATCGAGATGATCAATTTGAAAATATTTGGGCATCAAAACAACATCTTCTAGTAAAATTTTTGAGGTAGGCTCAAATTTGATTGTTTAAAACCTCGGCTCTATAAAAACTTTTCCCAAATAAATAGTGTACAATATTAGGAAAAAGTTTATATAGAGCTTAAGCAATAAACAATTAAATTAGAGCCCACCGCAAAAATTTCACTAAGATGCCCAAAGATTCACAAATTGATCATCTTGACATCAAGATGCATGTCATAAAAAAAAATGGATTTCAAAATTTGAAAATAGTGCGTCTTGAAATACATTTTTGGACGGTCAATTTTTTAGATTTTAAAGTTTTCATAAATATGCACGATCTACATTATTTTTAAAGCTTTAAATTTTATAACTAAATATAAAATATATTTTAAGACTATCACAAAGTTTCCAGCATTGAAACCACAATTCTCGATACTATTTGAAGGTACGCTTTATTGTGATGGTTTAGAGCCTCAGTCTATACAATACTCTTTATGTATAAAAATTTTACCATCTAGTTAAAACGGACTTATGTATAACATTGACATCTTACTTCTACAAATAAGATTGCAACCTTATACAAACTATAGTTTTTTTTATAAATTTTAAAAAATTAATATTTATCAACGTAAGCCTAACTTTACTCTATGGGGCGAAACATTGGGTGGTCAAAAAAAAAATACCCATAGAATAATTGTAGCGAAGAAGAGGACGTTGAGATGGATGAGTGACAACACAATAATGGATAAAATTCAAATTAACCCATTGGAAAGAAAATTAGGTACGGTACCAATAAGCGATAAGATAAGAGAGAGAGTAGACTTATATGGGCTGACCATATGTGGTGCAGACCCAATATAATACCTATTAAGAGGTGTAACTTAATTCAAGAGTAAGGCCGAAGAAAAACAAAGAGTAGCCCCAAAATGACATGGTTGATAGTAACGAGAAAAGATATAGAGACTTATGATATCACTAAAGATATGACATTTACTAGAGAAAAATGACGAATAAAGGGATTTATATAGCTGATCCAATTATTAAAAAAATATTATCATGATGATGATGAATTAACATTTTATTAGCCTAACCATGTTGATCAACACGAATAAGAAATTTGCATTGTGCCACTTTGATCAAAAGAGTACACCAGACTTGTCCCAAAACTTTGGCCCAAACTAAACTAGGCCAAAGCTTCACAAGTGGACCTAAGCTAGCAGACTGGCCCAGGCCCGATCCCTTGCCACATTTGCAGCATAGTTAGCAAGTCGTCGATTTAATCGTGACTTTTTAAAAAAATCGGCATGTTTTAAAAAAAAAACAATTTAGTTTGTGACTTTTTTAATAGATTGGTAAGAAAACGTGATTCTTTCAAGAAGAAGTTTAAAAGGTGAATTTTACAAAATTTGAAAAAATCATTTCAAAAAAACTTTTCTATTAATATACTCTTTTTTTTAAAAAAAAACTTTAATATCTTTTTCGTGTTTTATGAAATTTCTATTTCTATTATCCTGAAAACTTTATGTGGTTTTTTGCTATAGATATGGTGCATATATTTTTCGGGTGGTTATGAGTAGACCATAGTTAGCATGATAGGCTATTTCTTTCTAAAAAGATAAAAATTGAATTCACCTACCCAATATTTATCTTGACAAATAGAATAGATAATCATCTTATGATTTAAAGATATATCACATTGAATATTTGAAATTTATATTTATAAAGAGATCATTTTTATAGTAAGTGATATGTATGGAGTGAAAGCATTATTCCTCACTACTATTAATTTTTTTTATATTGAGTGAATACATATTTAGAGTTTCAAAATTTCTAATATTTTAAATATATATATTTTTTAATTTAATTGTTTTGAGTTTAATCCACTATATTCGTGATCTCTTTACCTGAACTATTTTTATCGATCTATATTTTTTACTTGATTTTTTCTTTTGTTTTTTCAAAATAAGAATGATTGGATTCCGATTTCATGCTGAACTGATTGATTGATATTCTCCGACTTGCTAAGTATGGTTTGGACTTTGGAGTGCCACCTGACTGGAAGGGTCGTGTACGTGTTGATACTGAGGTTAGAGAGGAGAGAGAAGAGAGGAGAGAGAATATTTTGTTAGAGATTCATTGTTTTTAACTTTGTATTGATGCTGGGGTTAGAGAGAGAGAGAGAGAGAGATTAAGCGTGTATAGTTTCTGTGTAGTTGATGGGCATTTGTAGAGTGACGTGGCGATGGGAGGAAAGCCGACGAGACGCGTCACATGAAAAATCATCAAGCGGCGGAGAAGCCGAAATTTGGGGACACGGCAAAAAGAGTGAACATCACAAACTCCAGCGGGAGCATACGGTACATTTGCTCCCTCAGATAAAATTATCAGCTTTTTTTTTTTCTTTAGTAAATTCTAATTCTATGTTATGGGCCCCTGCTAGAGCATTGTCGGTAAGCCACTTACTATAATGGCACTTAAATACAGTGAAAAATAAGTATACATTAGTTAAGATATTGAACGGGGATAGTTTTTAAATAGTGGAACAACATTCACATAGTTAACCTTGAAAGATTAGGATAAAGGCCAGACGAAGATGATGAATTAAAATTTTGATATCATATTAGATTCATGAGATAGGTATTTAAAAGATATTTTTAAATTGCTAAACAGTTAACTCTCAGTAACAAATTAACTATCTTTGTTCAATTATACTAAAAATTTTTTAAGGGTTTATTATTATTATTATTATTATTATTATTATAAGATCACTTACTTTTAATATAGAAAGGTCATAGGATATAAACTATGATAGATTGAAGTGCCTCAAAATATCGGAAATTTTTTATTTTAGACTCTGTACCTGAGATATTCTAATTACTTGATTTCACATCTAATGATCATTAATGCTTATATTCTCTTTGTACAAAAAATAAACGATATTTTTTATTTATTTTTATATTTTAAAACATGTCTAGAGTTTTATTTTAAAATTTTAAAGGTAAGTGTAAGTTGAAGAACTACATGCGGTAACATAAAATCTTTTGGCTCGAAAAGAGCTGGCAGAAAAAACCAAAATGGAAATAGATATTGGGTAAAATTGTTGTCTTTGCTATTAAAGTAATTGAGGGCTTATGCATGCATGAGAGGAAAATATGGTCTCTTTTAAGTCGTCATTACTCCTTTCTTTTCCTATATACCCCTCTCTGACCTTTTTCATTCCTCTTCGTCTTTTTCTTAATAAGTTAGTTACAGTTTGTCTCTCTCAAAGTGATCCTCTCTAAGTGAACCACGCACATGGTAATAAAAATAATATCCAATTTTAGTTTTTGGAAATACCACAATAGATTTTTTTTTTTTTTGAGATGACAATGTAACAAGATAGGAAAGTGTATATTACATGGAACAAAATAAAAAAATGTTTATTACATAATTGTATTACCATTATATATACAATGAAAGAACCACTACAAATTATTTTTCTTAAAAGAGTTCATCTCTCTCTAAAAATTTCTATTTGGTATCAGAACATCACGATCCTCTCAGCAATTCATCTTGAAGTAGTTTCTCAATCTAAACCGGGCAACAACCTCATATTGACCACACAGTACTTAATTTCTTCCCCATCTTTTATTTTTATTAAGTCATTATCCATTTTTTTACACCACTTTTCCTTCTCACATTGTAATTTTTTCCTTCTAGCCATTAAAAAGTCTCTCTTCACTTCATCGTTTCACCTTCTTGGCTTCTCTTGCATGCTTAAGCTTCATTCCTATGCCCAACTCGCTCTCTCTTTATCTCTCACATATTCAAACCTCACGTCCTTAATTATCCCACTCCCTCCATCACCATTAAAACCGACTCCACTCTCCATATTATTTCTTATCCTAATAACCAAGTCACGCACAACTCATATCACCCTCTCTTGCATACCAAATTTCTCCAACAAACCCTCAAATCCACTCTCTCACCCTCTCCCTTCAAAAACCTACTCCGCTCCAATAGATACTTTATCCTCTCTATCCCTCCACCTTTAATATAGGAAACTTTGTGTATATTAATTGACATAGAACAACTATCTCTTATGGGAAACTCAAATGCTCTCTTTCATTGAGAATCATGAACTTTTTGGATTTATTAATGGTGATTGCCCTACACTAAGTCAAAAGATTTCATCTCCTGATGGTAAGAATGAAATTGAAAACTCAAATTACAAACCATAGTTAAAGTTCGACCGACTTCTTAAAGCCTGGATCACATGGACATTATCAGAAGAGCATTTTGTCCTTGTTGTTAGCTTTCAAACTTATGCAGAAATTTGAAAATACCTGAAAAATACCTATGCAGGTAATTCTTAAGTAGGGAGTTCCAACTTACCCAACAAGTCCAACTCTACAAGAAAGGGAATTCAACCCTATTAAAATACATATGCAAATTCAATAGTATATGTGATGATGTGGCGGCTATTGGAAAACCTGTACTAGATGAAAATAAGGTTTTTTGGCTTATTAATGGACTTGGTAAAAAAT